CAAAATTAAAAATAATAAAATATTATCTAAGATCGATAATGTCTCAAGAAAGATTAAGTGGTTTGACTATATTATCGATTGAAAAAGAATTATTAGAAGAGATTGACTGCACAAAAATTATTAACAACTTTGCATCTCAAAAAGCTAGAAAAATAGATTTAAAATAAAAATATTTATAATTTTTTTTTTTTTAAGCCTCTGGTTTGATTTTGGCCTTAGGCCACCGACGGGTTTGAGCCGCCCTGATGGACAAAATGGATTTTTTCTAACAGTAGGGACACGAATAGACCTAATGTCACAACAAACATTCTCTACTTTTTGCTAACTAAAAGTCAAATGTTGCCCAAATTAATGTAGGCCGACTATTAATTTTCATTTGATCCAAAATATCTTGTAAAGAGAGGACTCGTTCAATGACAGTTACGCTACAATAAAAGCAAAAAGATTGTACAAACGGAATATAATTATTTTGAAATAATTTTAATTTAAACAATTAAAAGAGAATTAATTATCACTTTTCAACTTTGCCTTTAATATTAATTATTCTATAATTAAGAGATATGTTTATATAAATAAAGACTAAGGAATTAATAAGGAATATATTGGTCAAACAATACTCCTTATTAGTTTTTTCTTAAGTTGTATCAGACCTTATCATGACAATTAAAATAAAATGGAGGGAGTAGTAATGTTCCTTATTAATTCTCATTTTATTAGCGTTATATTAATGTTTTACCCTACAGATGAATTTTTGTTTGTTAGAATAAAGAGCTATTGCTTTTACAGCTTATATTATTGGTTAAGTGATTATGGTTCCATATGTATTTATCTTTTTTCTTAAACAGTCTCTAAGTACTACTATTGCCTAGATTTTTTGATTACGTAATGGGGATTTGATTAAGAATGTTGATCATAATATATATCCTCTTTGACATTGCTAGAGAAAGACAAGTTTTGATTTTTTGAAGTTGATTTTTAAAATTTGAGGTGTAAAATAAATGAAATATACCATAAAACCTAATTAATGCTCCGATTGTGAAAACCAAAAGAAATAAGAAGAAAAAAAATTAAGGGTGGGGTGGGTGGGAGTTATGTAATTCAAGATATTATTTTCCAAATTCAAAATATTAAAAGGGTAAAGTGGACATTACACTTATCTATATATAATTACTCTCTCAAGAAACAGAAACCTACGACAAATATAGAGTGTTTAATTTGGAATCATTTAATTGAAGAAAGCGGCTCTAACTGTATGTTTAATCAAAACTTTAAATCACACTTGGTCATTAAAGTTTAATTCCTGATTAATGTTCCTGTCGGAATCATTTTTAACTAGAAAAGCGGCTCCTAACTGTGTGTTTAATGTATTTGGTAGGAAGGAAAATGATTTCGACCAAAATATTTTATAATTGGTTCTTTTAGTTATATTTTAGTATTTGGTAATAAGAAATAAAATATTATTTTAAGAACATTTATATGTTATGTAGCAAAAAATATGAAAGGAATAGGAATGGGAAGTGGGGGTTTGGGGTGGGATGGTTAAGGGGTGAGCGTTTGGTGGGGAGGAGACAATAAATTTGGAAGGTCACTTATGCAACTTACTTTTTCTACTTCTGTTGGAAAAGTCATTTTCCTCATTTTTTAAGTAGTTTTTTTTTTCTATAAGAAAAAAATAATTCCAAATATTTTGTTCGACTAGACATAAAAAATTGAAAAATATTGTCTGAAAAATCTTATAACACCTATTAAAGTTTAACTTATATATATTGTTAATGTAGTTTGTAAAGTATTTTTATGGGAGAACCATTTTTTGTAGTTCACTTATAATTTACCCTTTTTAGTTTTATTCCATTTACAATCTCTTAGAGTTTTTAAAAATATTGAAAAAATGAAAGTTATAATTCATGTTAATTAAGGGTTATCTTTGACATTTTAAATTTACATGCAATGATTCTATTCATTTTTAATTGTTGATTTAAGATCAGGATAAATTTCTTTCCTAAAAGAGATATTGATTCCCAAACCCAAAAAAAAACAAAAAAAAAAGGAAAGATTCCCAAACCCATAAAGGTAAGGGAACTAAGTAAGGATTTTAACTAATATGCACGGATGGGGTAATTTTTTTTAACATTATCAGGTAATTTAATCTGCAAAAATTGATTATTCTTGTAATTTAATCTATTTTAAAACACATTTCACTCATTTCCATTCTCTCTCCCCCTTCTTTGTTAGATTCTTACTTCAATTTTTATTTTTGTCTCTGTTTATATGTTATATTTGGTTTTTCAAGAATTACTTAGATCAATTATTAAGTTCTAGATATTATGGAGTGAATTACACCATCAATATGTAATTGAAAATTACTTCTTTGTTGCACTTAGGGAAAATTTAATTCTTGAATGGAAGCTGGTGGATTAGTCTAATTTCTCAAAAATAAATTATGATTTTTTATGGATTATTTTATACAAAAGAAATTGTTGTATGAAGAGCCACTACAAAGAATATCATTTGCCTCCTTCAATGGTTTGAGAAAACAAAAAGAGAATATACGCATATATTTTTGGTACACGATAAAAATATTTGGGTAGAATAAGTAGAGTCTAAATTACCTTATTCTACTATTTTTAATTAATAATTTATTTATTTTTAAATAATTTTTTTTGAGAATTTGACTTACAACAAGCTTTAAAATACCTGATTGTGTAAAAAAATCTACATCATCAATGTATATTAGTTAAACTCTTAAGTGATATTATTCAAGAAAGAGGAAATAAAATCAACGCCTTTTTTTAATATTCAAAATAAGTGAATTGTTCTAAGTTCAAGAAAATTATTGGAAATTTCTTTTATTATAAGACCAAAAAAAAGTTGTGGCACATGACTACCGTCTAATAAATCAATGAGATTAATTAGGTACGAATTAATCCTTAATCTGCGCCTGTCTCCAAGCTACCTACCTGTAACAATTCCTATTCGGTAATGTGCCTGAACTTGCTGAAATTGATAGCATGCATGCACAACGTTTTAATTAGATTGGGGTTTAAAGCCAATTTTTTTTAAAGGTTTCAATTTTTTTTCTCTACGTAGACATATATAACTTGAATGACAATAACATACCCACTATTATCCTATAAGTGAGGTCTGCAAAGAATTTGATGTACAGTAAGAATGTAATCAACAAAAATATTCAATGGAAAAATATAATATAAAGCTAGAATAATAAAATCTGATTCAAGAATTTAATATAGTGATATCGAAAAAGTATAGTGCTAAATATGATGAGTTGATATAATGATATCAAAATAGTGTTGTATAGCTTCAATATAATGATAACTTGTTACAATGCTTGAAAATTGAAATATGAAAAATGACATAAAAGAGAAGAGTTGATATTTTCGATAACAGACAACCAGTGGCGTAACTAAGATTTTTATGAAGGGTGTCCAAATAATACATAAGTAATTTTTTTTTTTGATGAATGGATGCATTGAAAAAATTAAAATTGAACTACATAACATTAATATTACTTTTTTTTACGAATAAATGTTCCAAAATTTTAAAAATCAAACTGCATGATATTGAACATTAATGTTTGTGTTTAATTCAATATAAAGTGAACAAACAAAGCAAAAAAAAAAAAAAAGGAGGGGGGGGGGGGGGGGGGAGACATTCAAGCTTTCACTAATCTATAGTGATGACAACAATAACGAGACACAAATAATGGAAGCAAAATCAAATGAAGTGTTCTTTTGTTCGCTTTTAGCAGCTTTATAGAAAAAGTTTAGAATTTGTTTATTAACTTTAAATTAAATAATTACATTTTAAATTTTAATGAAAAGTAATAAAAAGTCAAATTCATTGAAATTTCAATTAGCTACTAAACCTAGATTTCTAATTAAGAATGTAATTTAATTAGCTTAGACAATTAAAGAAATAAGTTACTCCCTCCGTCCCTATTTACTTGTCCATATTTCCTTTTTTAGATGTCCCTATTTACTTGTCCATTTTGACAATCAAGAAAGGACAAAAAAAAATTCCTATTATACCCTCATTTAAACTTCTTGAAAATTTAAACTTCCCCCAACATTGATTAGTTATCTTGAATAAATTTATTTTGAAATCATAATTAATAAGGGCAAAATTGTAACTTCACTATGCTAATTATTGTTGCCTTAATATGTGTGTCATTTCTAAAGTGGACAACTAAATAGGGACGGAGGGAGTAATGAATAATAAAATAAAAGTGTTCTAACCCGCGCCTTCAAAGTAAGGAGGAGAGCCTCACACCGTTGGACCATAGCATCTTGATTTGTTCAAGATGTCCAATCTATTAACTTTAACCGTTACCAGTAACATTTTACTTATATATATGGTATAATTTTTCGACGAAGGGTGTCCCTCGGGACACTGTAGCTCCGCCCCTGCAGACAACAAGATTTTTGTACAATACAAACGGTTTGACTGTTTGGGAAACTAAAAAATATTACCACTTTCAACTAGAAAGTTGTGAGTTTAAGGCACCAATAAAGGAAAAACAAAATGGTGGGAGATCCTAGAAAGCAATCATAAAAAAGAAAGGAAAGAATAAAAAAGGAAAATATAAGAATAATAATGTGAGTTCATGTTAGTAATTAGAATATAAATGAAACAACAAAATTATAGTCACATGTGAAAGAATACTACAATTTACCTAAGAGCTATTTTATTTTTCAGTTATTATTATTATTATTATTATTATTATTATTATTATTATTATTATTATTATTATTATATATATATATAAATTACATTTTTAGAAAATAAAAAAAAAGTCTACAAGACATTACTTTAGTGGTCGGCTTAGCATGCATGACCTACTTTTACATATATAAAATAGACATGTTATTGAATACTAATTGTATATCAATTTAAACTTGAGATTTTCCTCCTATATATATGTAAGCATATAAACTAGTTTCCTTACTATTTTTCTTTGCTACGTAGTATATTTTTATATGGAGATGTGGCAGAATATCCGAATTGGAAAGGTGGAGGATGAAGAATTGAATGAAGGTGTTTTCTTGACATGGAATGACTTGTGTGTGTCTGTTTCCATTAGTAGAATTGGAAGCAAAAACATAATTGAAGGTGTCACTGGCTATGCTCGACCTAGTGAACTATTGGCTGTAATGGGTCCTTCTGGCTCTGGCAAATCTACACTTCTCGACGCGTTAGCTGGTATCTATGTTCAAATTTGATATGTATGTTTAGTTATCTTCGCAAATTAAAACATGTATATATGCTAATTGATCAGGGAGACTGGATTTCAGCACGAGACAGAGTGGGGATATTCTAATCAATGGTCACAAGCAAAAACTTTCTTATGGAACTTCTGTAAGTTAAAAATCTTAAATTATACTGCAACTGTCCTGCTGCACCGTTAAACTCTGTGTCAAGTCAAAATATGTTAATTTCTTCATCGTACAAAATCAGGCATATGTGACTCAAGATGAAACTCTGATAGCAACGCTAACAGTTAAAGAAGCTGTTTATTACTCCGCGCAACTACAACTTCCAGATTCAATGTCAAAATCAGAGAAAATACAAATAGCAGAACAAACTATAAAGGATATGGGGTTGCAAGATGTAATGAACACGAGAATTGGAGGATTTGGTAATAAAGGAATTAGCGGAGGAGAAAAGAGGAGACTCAGTATTTGCATTGAAATTCTAACGAGACCAAAACTTCTTTTCCTTGATGAACCAACCAGTGGCCTAGACAGCGCTGCATCGTATTATGTGATGAGAGGAATTTCACGCCAAAGAGGCGGAAGAACCATTATTGCATCGATTCATCAGCCAAGTGCTGAAGTTTTCAGTCTCTTTCACAGTTTGTGCATTTTGTCTTCAGGAAGAACTGTGTATTTTGGACCCGCGAATGCAGCAATTGAGGTATAAGCTTATAAAGTTTATTGGTCATTTTTAAACGATGTCGCAACTGTGAAAAGAATCTACATTTGTTTGCTCTGTTTTTAATCTCTGCCTTTTGGTATTGTAGTTTTTCAGGACAAATGGTTTCCCTTGCCCACTTCTTCAGAATCCGTCTGATCATTTTCTTAAAACAATAAACAAGGATTTTGACGAGGTAATTAAATAGTGTATCCATATTTTTTTCCCAATAATTCTTGGAGAGGGCAAAGTTTGCATTTTAACTGAATTTATTAATTTTGCCCTGTTGATAGGATATCGAACATGGTTTAGCTGGAAGAATGCCAACAGAAGAAGTGGTAGATTTTCTCATAAATTCATATAAATCATCCGAGGAATACGATAAAGTTCAGAATCAGGTTGCAGAAATATGTCAACAGGTAAGCAAAAGGGATAAAGCATGACAAGGGGGGAGTCTGGAGTTGAAATTTATGAATTGATACTAAGTTAATCTACAATAATAACTGAGTTCACAGTCAAATATTTTTAGATATTAGTGAACTTGTAACTAGTATCCGCTCTGTTTGTATGCACATGATGAGAATCACTCTTAACATTATTTATTTTCCAGGGAGGTGAAATATTGGAAAAAAGAAGTCATGCAAATTTTATCACGCAAAGCCTTGTTTTGACAAGGAGATCATCTGTGAACATGTTTCGTGATCTTGGCTACTACTGGATGCGATCTGTGTCTTATGTCATCCTTGCTTTAGGTCTTGGCACTATCTACTATAACGTTGACTTAAGTTATCGTTCAATCGAGGTATAAACAATAGATATAAGAAATCAGAAGAATTTTTAGTACTACTACTAAACGATGATCATGAACATGACATTTTCCAGGAAAGAGGTCTAATGGTGGCTTTCGTTGTTTCATTCATGACATTCATGACAGTCGGTGGATTCCCTTCATTTGTGGAGGACATGAAGGTATATATATAATCATTAATTCCATCATCACAACCAACTAATTTCTCTGTTAAATCATTCGTCACAACTATTTAATTCAGGTATTTCAAAGAGAAAACTTGAACGGACACTATGGTTCTTCTGCTTTTGTGATTGGCAACACCGTTTCCTCCATGCCCTATTTGTTATTGATTTCACTAGTTCCAGGTTCCATTGCCTATTTCCTCACTGGATTTCAACCTGGATTCGAGCATTTCATCTACTTTGCTCTAGTCCTCTTCATTAGTATGATGATAGTCGAGAGCCTAATGACTAACGTTGCAGCTATCGTGCCTAATTTCCTCATGGGCATTGTAGTAGGTGCAGGAATACAAGGATTGATGATATTAAGCGGCGGTTTTTTCCAGATACCTAACGAGTTACCTAAAATTATTTGGAAGTACCCGTTATACTACATTTCGTTTCACAGGTATGCTTACCAAGGCATGTTTAAGAATGAATTTGAAGGATTATTTTTTACAGCTAATGTCAATGGAATCAATGTTACTATTAGCGGAGAAGACGTATTGAGAGAAAAATGGCAAGTAGAAATGGGCTACTCAAAATGGGTAGATCTTGCTATTTTGGTAGTTATATTGATTTTGTACCGTATGGTATTCTTCTTGATTGTTAAAACGAATGAAAAATTTGTGCACGCAAGGAAAACATCCACATCAGTTTTATCAAAGAAAAGTAGGCAAATCATGGCCAAGTCCCTACCTGCCTCACCTCTCCATGTTGACATTCTCACCAACAGTAGTTGAATTAGGAGTTGTATTTTCATGTTTGTATCATTTTGTACTGTATTGTATTTTGTTGTTTACATTTCATGGACTCTAGTAGTTCGTTAATTAATTGAATGAATGTTTTTCAAACTTTATAAGTCATTGTTTTAGTACATGAAATTTTGTTTAGAGAATTAAGAGTGAGATGACAAGGGAAAGTTAAAAAATAATAGGACTATAAGAGTAGAAAAAAAAATTAACTTTAATTTTATTTTTTTATTTTTTTATTTTAAATTAATACATATATTGCATTAAAATTTAAATGTTCAGACCAACAAGATTTCAGTAAAGTTTTTGTATGTGTCAAAATATTTTTAATTCTTAAATTTTATATTCAGTTAATTATTGCAATGGAGAAAAGGACTATAGATTACTAAAAAGATTAATAAGACATACGAATGTCAAAATAAGGTAAAGGGATAATAAATGCTAACTTCTCGATTTCGACTAAGATATGAAAAGAAATTGTTAGGAAGTCCGTATTCAAAAATGAACTCTACGATGAATGAATCTGAATTAGTTGTGCTTTGAACTTTGCGGATTAGAAAAAAGAATTATTAGAAATGTTGTATACATACAAAAATAAATTTAGAATACATTAATTTAAATTAATCGAGATTCAATATAGATAAGAAATACATATTTGGACATACCCAAAAAACAACTGTTTAGTTCTAAACAAATTCAGGTATCTTTGTTCACTGAACGGTTATTCAATTCTCTTTGTATTCCCCAATCCCAACCCAAACACAAAAAAATGGCTCTGGCAGTCGCCACCGCCGGCGGCAACAGGGGTGGCTCAGCCCTCCCCAATTCGTGCCTTCAAGCCCCAAAGTCTTCACCTTTACAGAAACCCATCTTCTTCTCTTCCTTTCCCAAAATAACAACCCCGTCAAACTCCAAAATCAAGCCAAGAATCAAACCCATCTCAGCCGTTCAATCTCCACCCTCAACAACAGCAAAAACTGCTCAAAACCCAGAAGGAAAATGGAGTCTTGAAAGCTGGAAATCGAAGCCGGCTTCTCAGCTCCCTGAATACCCTGATAAGGTAAAGCTGGAATCAGTTCTTGATACCCTTTCGACGTATCCCCCAATTGTATTTGCTGGGGAAGCTAGGAATCTTCAAGAGAAATTGGGCGAAGCTGCTCTTGGGAATGCTTTCTTGTTGCAGGGTGGTGATTGTGCTGAAAGCTTTAAGGAATTTAGTGCTAATAACATTAGGGACACTTTCAGAGTCATCTTGCAGATGGGCGTTGTGCTTATGTTTGGTGGTCAAATGCCTGTAATCAAGGTGATTTTCTCTTTGAGTTAATTACTTCATAGCTAATGTTTGTACTAGTCATCGCCCAACGGTGCGATCCTTATAAAGAATTCATTGGAAGAGATTAATAATTTCTGGTGGTTTGCATGATCACATGGCATATGGAGTTTGGTCCCACAGGTGGTCTTTGTCTGTGATATATACAATTTTATAGAACTTGGTCTTAAGCTGTTCAAGCCCTTCAGGTGGTTTAATTAGTTGGTAGAGGGAAAAAATGTTATGTTTCCACACTAATTGACACTTAAATGATTAAATTTGACCTTGATTATAGTATCTGTAAAGTGAATTCTTTATTCCTTTTGATTGCTCTGGGACAGCTTTAGATAGTTGGCCTAGTACACAGAAACTGACGAGGATGTGCTTGAAATAAGTCAAATGATGCTTGTTGCTAATGATGAAAATGATATTTCAATTATTTGCTCCCTAGGCGGAATACTTGATTAAACTTTACTTTAGTCTGCTGCTTAGGTCAAGATTCCAATTATAATTAAGAAATTCTCTTGTTTGACTAATTATCCGAAATCTCGCATGCATATCAATCAGACGAATCAGCAACTGAATCTCGAAATTTAGAACCAGGTGTAATTTATTCATTTTAGCGGTTTCTGTGGCTGTAACAAAGATAGTTTTACTTTTGATTGTTGATTGATTCTATAAGCTGAGTTCCAAGATTTGGTTATTTATTCTTGTACTTTACTGGTTAGGTCGGTAGAATGGCAGGTCAATTTGCAAAGCCAAGATCTGATCCATTTGAAGAGAAGGATGGTGTGAAGCTGCCAAGTTACAGGGGAGACAATGTGAATGGCGATACTTTTGATGAGAAGTCAAGAATTCCTGACCCCCATAGGATGATTAGGGCCTATACTCAGTCTGTAGCTACATTGAACCTCCTCAGGGCATTTGCTACTGGAGGTTATGCTGCCATGCAGAGGGTTAACGAGTGGAATCTTGACTTTACTGATCGCAGCGAGCAAGGTGACAGGTATGTCTTCTGCTATGCTATATTTGTTACTTATCGAAAGAAAATGTTTGTCTTTTATTGGTTTTGTAGTCTGAATGTCCTTTTATTATAACTTCCATGACTAACAATTTTGTGAGCAATATGTTTCCCGTAGGTACCGTGAACTGGCTCACCGAGTAGACGAAACCATGGGCTTCATGACTGCTGCTGGGCTTACAGTTGACCACCCAATCATGACAACAACTGATTTCTGGACATCGCACGAGTGCCTTCTCTTGCCTTATGAACAAGCACTTACGAGGGAGGATTCAACTTCTGGTCTTTATTATGACTGCTCCGCTCATATGATTTGGGTTGGGGAACGAACAAGGCAATTGGATGGTGCTCATGTTGAGTTCTTGAGAGGAATTGCCAATCCACTTGGAATCAAGGTACAGTGCACTTATTTTTACTGCACTTTATTTTGTTGGAAAAAAGGAGTGTGGTAAGATATGCTAATTATGAAGGGCTCTGCAGAGTTTCTTGTAAGATGTGGAACAAATTTAATATTGACATCTGCATGTGATAAGGAGTTGAAGGGAAAGATGGAGAATGTGAATTATAGGTCATGCCTTAGAGATGCATTTAACTGTGCCTGGACCTTCGTCTATTCTTTGACAATCCACATGCTGAGATTTAACTTTTAGCCTGTGATTAGCAGTAAAAAGTCTAGAATGTTTGAATACTGGTTAACAAAAAGAGAAAACAAAGTTTTGGACTTATATTTTCTGAAAATTTAGGTCTTTCTCTATATGTAGTGTGAGTAGGATGGAGTTTATGATATCAATTTAACATATATATATATATTGAATAAGAGGTGGTATTAAGCTAAATTTGAGAGGAAAACATCATATCAAAGTTTAAAATTAAAGAAATATATAAATTTGAATTCTTGAAATCTTATCAATGATATTATTAGAAGAATGGTGTCAAGCATCTGAGATGTCCGAAAAAGTAAACAGAGTCATATAAACTGGGATGGAGAGAACAAATACCGACCAGAGTTAAAACGTTGAATGTAGTGTACAATTCTAGTATCCACCTCTTCATTTTCCTATGAAAACAATTACTGTATCACCAGATTTCAAGCTCCCTTAGTTTCCACGATATTAACCAGCTTGGAGTTTAGACATAGTTGGTTGACTGATTGATGGACGTACATGCTATATAAGCTACCTTTGTTTCAATATTGCAGGTGAGTCACAAAATGGATCCAAATGAACTAGTCAAGCTAATTGACATTCTTAACCCTCAAAATAGACCAGGAAGGATTACAGTAATCGCCAGGATGGGAGCTGATAACATGAGAGTAAAGCTTCCCCATCTGATCAGGGCTGTTCGCGGAGCTGGTCAAATTGTCACTTGGGTCAGTGATCCTATGCATGGAAATACCACTAAAGCCCCTTGTGGACTCAAAACGCGTTCATTTGACTCTATCCGGGTATGATGCTATTCTGCCTGCTTTATATACTTGCTTTATGTTCTCGTGGTATGTGAATTCTGCCGTATGTTTTTAAAAAATATTTATTTGCCACCCTTGACAATATAAGTAAAGTATTTCGAAACTGTTTTAGTAACCAAGAAACTATAGGAGAAGATCGCATGTCATTGAACATTCATGACAGCTTTGAGGTTGCATGCCATTGAATCTACATTTCGAAATAGTACAAGGGAAGAAATTAGTTGATAATAAGATCTAATAAACCCTTTACTAGTATAGGAAATTCTGTGACGTTATGCTTTTTATACGTACCGACTAGACTATCCTAGTGAATTTCTTTTCGCCATAGCTTATATTGTGATTGTGTGTATCCGTGTAGGCCGAGGTAAGAGCATTCTTTGATGTACACGATCAAGAAGGGAGCTATCCTGGTGGTGTGCATCTGGAGATGACAGGTCAGAACGTAACAGAGTGCGTTGGAGGCTCTCGAACAATTACTTACAATGATCTGAGCTCGCGCTACCATACACATTGTGACCCAAGACTCAATGCTTCTCAAGCACTTGAACTTGCTTTTATCATCGCCGAGCGCCTCAGGAAAAGAAGACTGGGACCTAAGTTCGGGTTCTAGAAACCATCTTACTCCCCTTCCCCTACTATTTACAGTTAGCGTCTGTGTAAAGAGGTATAAGTATAGTATGGCTAGATCCAATCTTATAGTAATATGAAACTTAAAACATGGAAAGGCTATTCCTCCAGTGTATATGTTAAGATGGATGCTGAAAGTTTGTGTATATATATAAATAATAACATCTTGGCAAATAAAGTGAACTGACTCTGTTTGGTTTGATATATAATATCCAGTGGCAGAACAAGTTCTTTTCACTTACGAGATTCAAAATATAAAGAAACACATACAAAAAACTTAAGTAATTCAAAATATACTACATATGCACAAAAAATAATTTTTGACTTTGTATATTCATTGTAATTTTTTTCAAAGAAAGGAGTTCATTTGAATCCGTTTGGACACCCTAGCTCCGCCCTGCCCTGGCTAATTCAATTTTGTAGTGGGAAATTTCATTTTGAAGGTGAAGCGACACCTATGAAAGACTTCTGGGCTTAAACTCCAGATTTTTTTTTTACTAAGGAACCCAATACTTTGTGTTGTTACATATATTATCATCCAGAGTGTAAGTCTTTCTGGATTGTAGAGG